GTGTGTTGTTCAGTGCCTCTGTGTCCTTACTTATTTTCTGTCTGGTGGATCTATCCTTTGGAGTGAGTGGTGTGTTGAAGTCTCCTAAAATGAATGCATTGCATTCTATTTCCTCCTTTAGTTTTGATAGTATTTGTTTCACATATGCTGGTGCTCCTGTGTTGAGTGCATACATATTTATAATGGTTATATCCTCTTGTTGGACTGAGCCCTTTATCATTATGTAATTTCCTTCTTTATCTCTTGCTACTTTCTTTGTTTTGAAGCTATTTTGTCTGATTCTTGTACTGCAACACCTGCTTTTTTCTCCCTGTTGTTTGCATGGAATATCTTTTTCCATCCTTTGACTTTTAGTCTGTGCGTGTCTTTGGGTTTGAGGTGGGTCTCTTGTAAGCAGCATATAGATGGGTCTTGCTTTTTTATCTATTCTATTACTCTGTGTTTTGATTGGTGCATTCAGTCCATTTACATTTAGGGTGATTATTGAAAGATACGTACTTACTGCCATTGCATGCTTTAGATTCGTGGTTACCAAAATTTCAAGGTTAGCTTCTTTAGTATCTTACTGCCTAGCTTAACTCGCTTATTGAGCTATTATAGACACTGGTGATTCTTTATTTCTCTCCCTTCTTATTCCTCCCCCTCCATTCTTTATGTGTTGTGTGTTTTATTCTGTGGTCTTTTGGGTATCCTTTAACTGCTTTTGTGGATAGTTGATTTTATTTTTTGCCTTTCGTTGATACTTTGTTGGTCTGCTTTCTGTGCTGTGATTTTATTTTCTCTGGTGATATCTATTTAGCCTTAGGAGTGCTCCCATCTAGAGCAGTCCCTCTAAAATACCCTATAGAGGTGGTTTGTGGGAGGCAAATTCTCCTCAACTTCTTCTTGTCTGGGAATTGTTTAACCTCCTTCATATTTAAATAATAATCGTGCTGATACAGTATTCTTGGTTCAAGTCCCTTCTGTTTCATTGCATTAAATATATCATTCTCTTCTCTTCTGGCCTGTAAGGTTTCAGATGAGAAATCTGATGATAACCTGCTGGGTTTTCCTTTGTAGGTGACCTTTTTCCTCTCTCTAGCTGCCTTTAAAATTCTGTCCTTGTCCTTGATCTTTGCCATTTTAATTATGTGTCTTGGTGTTATCCCCCTTGGGTTGTTTCTCTTGAGAGTTCTGTGTACATCCGTGGTCTGAACAATTATTTCCTCCCACAGTTTGGGGAAGTTTTCAGCAATTATTTCTTCAAATACACTTTCTATCTCTTTTTCTCTTCTTCTTCTTCTTCTGGTACCCCTATAGTGTGAATATTGTTCCGTTTGGATTGGTCACCCAGTTAGTATTGATTCATTCCTGGAGATCCTTTTATCGCTCTCTGTGTCAGCTTCTATGCGTTCCTGATCTCTGGTTTGTATTCCATCAATGGCCTCTTGCATCTTATCCATTCTGCTTATAAATCCTTCCAGAGATTGTTTCATTTCTGTAATCTCCTTCCAGACATCATCCCTTAGCTCTTGTATATTTCTCTGCAGCTCTGTCAGCATGGTTATGACCTTTATTTTGAATTCTTTTTCAGGGAGATTAGTTAGGTCTATCTCCCCAGAGTCCTTCTCAGGGGAGGATGTTTGGGTTAGTCTGGTCTGTATCAAATTCTTCTGCCTTTTCATGGGGATAGAGGTAGTTGCGGAAAGGTGGTGCATGTGTCGGCTGGGAGAACATTCCTTCTTGCTGGTTTGTGGCCTTCCTCTCCTTGGAGAACAGTGACCCCTAGCGGCCTATGCTGGGCAGCTGCCCGCAGATGGGGTTTCTAATTCTTGCCCAGCCATTGTGAAAGAAGCTCTGCCCTGCTGCCTCAGTCTGCTGCTCCACTATGGTGGAGTGGCGTCGGAGGGGAAATGGGTGGGAGGCTGTTTATCTCCGTGAGGGACCTGGGAGCTGTGCTGCCGCCCAGGGGGTTAGGGCTCCCGGGGTTCTCTGGGATTCTCAGCTGCTGGGCTAAGTGTCCCAGGATGTTTCTGTCCAGTGGTGGGGTCCCTGTCTCTTTAAGTCTTCCAAAAAGCACTCGCTTTTCTTTGTCCCAGGGGCACCAGCAGTGGGGACCCACTTGCAGGTTTTACTGTTCCATTTCCCTAGTATCCAGCACCCCACACAGTGTGTGTCTGCACTCTGGTGTGGATGGCTAGGGCTGGGTGTTTAGCAGTCCTGCGCTCCCTGTCCCTCCCTGCTCCGACTCCTCTCCTCCTGCCAGGAGCTGGGGTGAGGGGCGCTCGGGTCCCGCCGGGCTGTGGCTTGTATCTTACCCCCTTCGTGAGTCGCTGGGTTCACACAGGTGTAGATGTAGCCTGGCTGTTTTCCTGTATCTTCTGGTCGTCTCTCTTTTAGGGATAGTTGTATTTATTGAATTTTCGAAAATATATATGGTTTTGGGAGGAGATTTCCGCTGCTCTACTCACGCCGCCATCTTGGCTCCTCCCTCACCTTTAAGACTTTTGAAAAGCGCCTGCTTTTCTTTTGTCCCAGGGGAGCCGGCTCTGGGGACCCACTTGCAGCCTCCGTCTCGGACCCTACCCTTCCGTTTCTCTAATATCCAGCACACCATGCAATGTGTGTGTGTGCTCCTGGTGGATTACTAGGGCTGGTTATTTAGCAGTCTTGTGCTTCCACTCCCTCCCCACTCCGACTCCTTTCCTCCTGCCAGTGAGCTAGGGTGGGGGGAGTGCTCGGGTCCTGCTGGGTCATGGCTTTGTATCTTACCCTCTTTGTGAGATGCTGAGTTCTTGCAGATGTAGGTGTAGCCTGGCTGGTGTACTGTGTCCTCTGGTCTCTCTTTTAGGAATAGTTGTATTTGTTGTATTTTCAAATATATATATGGTTTTGGGAGGAGATTTCTGCCGCCATACTCACACCGCCATCTTGAGCTGGAAGTTCTGCTTGTTCATTTTTTTTTTTTGATATCATTAATGTACAGTTACTTGAACAACATTATGGTTACTAGACTCCCCCCATTATCAAGTCCTCCCCACATTCCCCATTACATTCACTGTCCATCAGCATAGTAAGGTGCTATAGAATCATTAGGTGTCTTCTCTGTATATACTGCCTTTCCCGTGTTCCCCCCCACATGCTTGTTCATTTTTATAATTCATTTCTACAAACATTTCATATACACTTAGTCCACAACCTGCTATGTAAAGACCTATTTAAATATTTTATTTGTTGTTTCCTTACATCCTTCCGTGGTAATTTATTTCCTTGAGTGGCTGGTGTTTTTTTTTTCCAAAAAAATAATATATTTAGTTGATTTTAAGCTGCAAAAAACCTGAGCATCTACATTTTGGATGTTTCCCTTCAAATATTATTAGCATATGACTATATAAGGAACCAGAACCTAGAATCCCTTTTTATGCTCCTTTCCTCAATTAAGGGTTCTTCAGTTCATCTACTGTGTCTTCCCTTCCTTAATAATTTATCAACATAAGCCCTCGAGGAAAACCTAGCCTTTCATAAGTGCATTCTATTCTGCTCACCGCTCCAGTTTCAGCAGCCCTTTCTTTTGGCCACATGTATGTTTTCCTTTCTGCAAGCACAATAGAAAGCCTCTCATGGTTATCTAGTATACCATGCTGCCAGAAGTAGAAACTTAGATTTCTTATATCATCTCTTGTTAGTGCCCTAAACATGTCACTCAAACTTGGAGATGTCACTTGCCCTTGGGCTTCAATTATGACCTCTATATACAAAACTTTAAATCTATACTTCCAGCTTTAACTTTTGCACCATGTTTCAACTCCCGTATCTCCAACTGTTTATTGGACATGTCCATCTGGATATCTCTCTGATGGAGACTCAGTATATCCAAATCAAAATACAACATCTTTGTGTTTGGCTTCTACATGTCCAAAACATTTTCCTTCCATTCACAAACCTCAAACATTTCAAGTTGGAAGAGATTTTTAAGGGCTCATTTTACAATTGGGAAAATTGGGGACCAAGGATGTTAAATTTTTCCTCATCATTCCCAATTAATTTCTCTAAAATATTGCTTTCACTACATTCCTTCCTGCTTAGAAAAAAAAAGTTCAGTGGTTTCCCTTCTGCCTAACCCTTAAGATGCTCACAGATGGTGCGGTCAGAGCATTTGTCCTATTGCAATAGTCCCGTTCCTGCTCCACTGCACTGATCCTTTAAATAAAGTCTCTCCTCACAGCCAAAATCAAAACCAAACCAAAACAAAACTTCAGTGGTTTCCCAATATTCACAAGATTTTAGCTTGGCATTTAAGGGTTACTAAAATCTAGTTTCATAGTCCATTATTCTGACATGTGAAAACCTATGCTGCAGGCAAGTGAGTCTATCCTTCCAAATTTTTACTCTCCCTCATATCACAGCCTAGAAGACTCATCTTCATCCAATTCTATTGAAATTCTAATGTATCCATCAAAACATGGCTTAAATATCAACTCTTTCACTAGTCTCACCAAAATGAAATTAATTTATCCATCTGAATTTTTTGCATGTCTGATCTGTAAGTTCATAGAATGCTGATTAAATTCTGCTTTGTATTATGGATATTTTTCTTTCTATTTTATGTTCTTTCACAGTTTCCCCAGGCAGAAAAGCACCTGTTCTGTGTTTCCCATCATGCTTAGCACAGTGACTGGCACCTGGAAGCGCAGTAAAGTTGGCTAAAAGATGAAGTAAACTCAAGGATTTCTTACCTTGGTGATGTCTGTGTGATCTTTGAGCCCGTTGGTCATGCACCAGTATCGCCACACATTCAGGGCATACCGCGTGGCTTTGGTAGTATTTGGGCTTACTGCACTGGTACACAGATCATTCAAGTCATCATTAATATTAAATACAGGAAATTTGTTGAGCTTAGTAGAATAGGCTAGAAACAAAAACAATAAAAGGCATTAAAATAATTTGCCATCCCCTGCTTTAGAGAATTACATCTTGGGATCATGTTAAATAACAGAAAAGTCCTATAACATTTAAAAAAAAGGAAATTTTTATCAAATATACACACATTAGAATAAATAACTTAGGGAACAATATTTCTAGCACAGAATCAATGCAGTAACCTTGCATCTGACCCCAGCAATTTTGCCATATATACTAACTGGTGAATTAGCGCAGGCATTCTAATAATAGAAGAAAATATATGAATACAGAAAAACAAAGAATGTTCTATTCAAAGTTTTCACCGGAAAAAGACAAGCATTCCTATTAAAAACAACAATAAAAATATAGAAAGAAGGGAAGACACATCCTTTTTCTTTACCCTTAGCATATGAACAGCTGTTATTTCTCTGTTAACATATACTCTCAGATGTCTTATGTGCCATCCTGCGCACCCTTCATTAAATGGTATTAGGATATTGCTTTAATTATTTTCACAAATTAAAGAGGTACTTAAACTCTGGTTCTATAACTCATCAGCTAGCTTGGGATCAGAATGGAAGGTCAAGTAGAATAACAGTAGGGAAGAGGAGGAGGATACAGAAGACAGGCTCACAGCATCTTGGAAGAGATGGAACAGATTTTAAATTGCATTTGCCAAAATACTTCAGATGAAAACTGCTCTTCTGCAGGGTGTCCACTTTAAGTTTTTTTGGTTCCCAAAGAGCTAATCAAATCCATAACCATTAGCTGGCCTTTTTAAACACTCTGTGATCTACTAAGACCAGGCTTACACCGTTCAAATTGTTGCCTTTGGATAGAAAACAACAAGAAGTGAGAAAAAAAGTAGATCCCTTTAAAGTAAAAACAATATCAACCTGTACTTTATCTAATGGTTCTGACCCTCTCTGGAATGTTTCTATATTCATACAAGGCACTAAAAAGCTGAGAAATAGCAAAATGAAAAGTTAAGGCAATTACAAAGGATCTTAGTAAATGAGAACTACAGCTGATTTAGACAATCACTATAGTTTCACTATAGTTTTCTTTTTAACAAAAAAATGAATTTCTTTCACTTTACCTAACTCACCTGACCTTTCGCTGCTCCACTGAGGAGCCCTACTGAGGCCTCCTGCTGTCCTTAGCACCCACTTGCACCCAGAACACCCACACACACCTTCCCACTTTCAGCCTGACAAATCTCCCTATATCTTTTGTGCCGATCAAATAGTATCCTTTTTTCGTTCCAATTTCAATTTCAAACTCACTTCTACATAATCTGTCCCCACACCAACCACTTTATTCTCTCCTTCAGTATGTGTCTCATATTAGCTTTAACATTCCTCAGAACTGTGATTTAATTGTGCCCAGAAGATCTCTCCAGTTGGTTTGTATGCTCCTTAAGACTGTGTCTTTGCCCTCAAGTCTGCTGTTGAACTGTTGGACACTCAGTCTGTTTTAATGAATGCTTATAGCGAGAGGAATAAACAATGCTAGAAATGCCGTTGGAAGAAACTGAGGCATGTAAGTGTATTCCTTATCTCTGAGACATGCTTGATATTAATGAAAGGATTCCAGTATAAAATGTATTATTATTACACACACTAATTGAATGCTTACTGTATGCCAAGAGCTACATTAATTACCTCTAGGCAACACTACTGTTATACGTATTTTACAGATGAGGAAACTAAGGTTCCTACATTTATTCAGTTCATGCATCACTCATACCACCTATTTACCAGGGTACTCTCTCTGTGCCAGGCACTGTGCTATCTCAGGTTGTGGAGTCAGCAAGTGCTAGAGCCAGGGTTTGTACCTGGATCCCACGGACTCTATGCTCTGGCCACGCATGACAGCAAAGGAATCGGACACTACAGGGATAAAATTCTCAGTAAAGAATACAATTTGATGCCTGCCACTTATGAAAACTATATTCTGGCCCCCAAAATTTATTCGTATTAGCCTTCAGTGAGGAGAACTACAGCTGATTTAGACAGTCACTATAGTTTCACTATAGTTTTCTTTTTAACAACAAAAAAATGATTTGCAACACAGCCCAGTCTCCATCATTTTGATACAGCATAGGGGTAGAAACCATTAAACTGCAAGACAGGATGATGAAGTTTAATAATTAAATAATTACATGGCCTTAAGTAATTTCGCTTCTATCACAGAACAGACTGTACACTGAAAATGGAAACCGAAATCCTAGTGCATAAACAGGTAAAGAATGCTTGTTTGCTTATGTGAAGGTTCCTCAAAAAACTAAAAATAGAAATATCATTTGACCCAGGAATTCCACTCCTAGAAATTTACCCGAAGAAAACAAAATCCCTGATTCAAAAAGACATATGCACCGCTATGTTTATCACTGCTCTATCTGCAATGGCCAAGATATGGAAGTAATCTAAGTGTCCATCATAAATGAATGGATAAAGAAGTGGTACATACACACAATGGAGTGTTATTCAGCCATAAAAAGAAAAGAAACCCTCCCATTTGCAGCAACATGGATGGACCTAGAAGGTATCATACTCAGTGAAACAAGCCAGGGGGAGAAAGACAAATACCATATGATTTCATTTGTAGAATATAAAAGCAAAGCAAAACTGAAGGAACAAAATAGCAATAGACTAATAGACTCTGAGAAGGGACTGTGGTTACCAAGGGGAAAGGGTTGAGGTGGATGGGGTGGGGAGGGGGCTAAAGGGGCACAATAATTCACAATCACAATACAAGTTAATCACAGGGATGATACTACAGCATAGAGAATACAGTTAATAATTCTGTAACATATTACTATTTTGATAGATAGTAACCGCACTAGTGGGGGTGAGGATTTAATAGTATGGGTAACTGTTAAACCACTGTGTTGTGTATTTGACACCTATATGATTGTATATCGATACTTTAAAAAAAAGAATGCTTGTAAGCTTATGTAATGGGAAGGAAATTGTGTGACAATGATAAAATGACATAATATGGCTCCTTCATGATTGTATTTGAAGATTAAATATTTCCTTAATAAACTAATTTTTAAATTTTGAGAAGTTACAGTGTTATGGTGCTGAGGAAAATTTTAGGACACTGTGATGGAGAAACAAATGAAAGTAAGACCTTATAACTGAATACAGGAAAAAGACGGACTACTACAGAGGGACTTGAGTTTTCTTCCCACTAGAGAGGAGGCAAACTCCCGGGCTTAAACTTAGAAAGTGGTGGCCATGGGAGCGGGCGGGACTGTGGGGTCACAGCAGCGTACTCGAAGGGCAGCTACATCTGAATGATTATCCTGCTCTCTAAATGTAGCGACCACCTGCATCATTTACAGCATAGGTATTGGCAGGCACCGTGTGTAAAGTGAGGGAAACCTGCTTGGAAGGCTACCCTCAAGGTCAGAGAGACAGAAGGAGGTATTGTCTCCAGTAACTCTGCACAGCAACATTGGACAGGGAAGCAGCTACAAAAAGTAGGCAATCCCTAAATGTACACTGTCTCTCAGGTACCACCTCCCCTGTGTCTATGTTTGAAAGAGTATCCAGTTTCCCAGCTTGTTTTCAGCTTATACACCTGAAGGGAAGCCTATTTATGGGCATTTCTTGGTCCACTCATTATAGCTGGGTGAAGTCCACTTGTAGAACTATTACCTGCAAAAGTGAGCCCTGTCCAGATGCATCAAACAGGAACCTTTAGTAATGCTTTCTAAGGAAATCCCTGTAAGCTACCAATTATGATAAATCTAGACTTTCATTTTAAAATGTGAACACACAAATTGCCTGGCAATCAGGAAAAACCAATAGCATGAAAGTTGACAATTAAAGAAGCAGAGCAACTGATTCCACATTCCCTCCCCTCCCCAAAATAGTTAACTGAGAAAACCATGGAAAAAATTCAAAAGGTCATGGATAGATCATTACCTAGATTTGAGAGGATAATGCAACCTTAAAACAAGAACAGCTTTCACTGGAAAGGAAAAATAGGAGAACAAGAAAGATCTTGGAAACTTTACATGCAATAATGAGGCAAAGCTTAAAACAATTAAGAAAGGATTATGAAAATAGATGAGGCATGATGAAACAAATTCTTGAACCAAAATTCCCCATGATTTTAATAATATATGGAGAAAAGGGGAGAAAGATATAAACAATATGATTGAGTTTGCATCCTGTTTGGGAAGAGTAGGGAGCAAAGATGAAAAACACAAAGGTGATATTACTGATATGGATTAATTTTTTACATTAAAAACATGTTTAAATCTGTTAAAAACAAAACATAAGAGAAAGAATTATTAGAATGGATATAGATTTTCAAATAAGGAAGTTATTAAAAGAATGGCAATAAAAAGAGAATTAAAAAGAAATCCAACATCTTCAATCTGTCTAACGAAATTCAGGACAAGTTAACAGAAGAAATGAAGAACCAAGAAAGAAAGTATGATGTATAGAAAATTAAAAATGATGGCAGGAGGACTTCCTCTTAGAGCTATAATGAAGTATTACACTATGTTCCTTCTGAGAATAAAGCTAGATAATATATACTGGCAAACTACTAAAGAAACTGGAACTCAAGGAGCAAAAATGCTGGAGAGAAGAAAAATGCAGAGGTGAGGCCTGCACGGATTACCATGTTTTCCTTTTAAGCATTTGCTGAGCTGCAGTGCAGGACACACTGCCTAGACAGAAAGGAGCGGCCAAGTCTACAGCAATCTCAGTGAAAGAAGTAGACAAATACTCAAGTATAGGGCTGACAAGCAGCCAGTACTCGAGAGACTGAGATCCTACAAGAAGGGGACCACAGAGAAGTGAGCCAACATTCTGCATGCAATTTTCCTTCCAAGAATTGCTGACTTCTAAGCTAAACATGCAGAAGTAATAGGCAGAGAAACCAAGTGGAAAGCAGAAATCACAAGAAGGCAATTTCATGGCATCAAGGAGTCAAGAATAGTAATTGAGTAATGGTACTTAGAAAATATTTCAAACTGAATGA